AAGAAGGCGCTCCTGACGTCGATTTGTCGGAGCGATTGTTGTTTGACGGCGGCGATGCAGATGAGAATGCGCACCGAAGTGTGGCGTCCGACAGGTGCGTAGGTAAGAGTGAAGTCTGCCAGATGCGTTTGCTCAAACCCCCGCACCACCCATCGCGCTTTGTATTTGTCGACCGAACCATCCGCCAGGGTCTTGATGCGAAAGACCCATTTGCCGCTGAGAATTTTCCTCCCCTTCGCCGATGACCGAGGGACCAGCTTCCATGCACCGCGTTTGTTCCGCGACGCGACTTCTGCCGCCATGGCTGCTCTCCATTTCTCGTTGTCGAGGCCGGACAAGGCTTGGCGTACAGTGGTTGGTTCCTTGGGGGAAGTGTGGCGAACAGAGACGGCGAGACTGAGGAAGCGAAGACCGGTTTCGTTAGTCTTTTCGTAGTGGAGACGGTCGTAGTCGTGGAAGCTGGTAACTTCGACCACGTCGTCGTCACTTTCGTTGCCGAGGCGGAGGGTGTCTCGCGAGGAGTTGGGTTGTGGTAACTCGGCATCGGGCGATCTGCGCTCTTCACTGTTGCAGTTGTGAGCTTCGCGTGTTGTATCGTCAGGATTGAATTGGTGTACAGGGATGAATGTTGGAGTCCCGAGCGGGCTTGTAAGGGGAACGCTCGGAGCGGAGTCCATTTTAGTGACATCAGCTGCGTCTGCTTTTTCCGCCAGGTCAGCTTTGACGTGTGACATGGCGAAGCTGCGATGGCCCTCGAAGAGCCTTTCTGGTAGCTTGTCGGCTTCTAGGTGTTCGCGGCAGAGTCAGCTTCTCGTAGAAGATGCAGTCACGTGATTTTGTCACCTCGTGTGTCGTGTAGTCCAGCACAATCCATACCTTGAATTCCTTTTCGATCCCGAGGTGGACACCTCATCGTGCCCGGTCAGCAAATTTTCCGGTCCTTGCAGTGTGGGGTCTGTACTGTACCATACAGCCGAACACCCGAATCAAACGCGTGTCCGCTTTTCTGCCCGTCCATGGCCGGTAGGGGGAGTTGTTGTTCTCGAGGCTTCGCGAGGACAGCAAGTTGTGCAGCCGAACAGCGTGATTCATCGCAAATGGCCAATATCTGGTTGGGATGGCCGACTGCTTCATCAGAGCCCTCATCCGCGTGGCGAGGCTTCTGTTTGTCCATTCTGCTACACCCTGCTGTTGGTGAGCGTAGGGTAGGAACACCCGGTGCTCAATCCCCTTCTCCTTGAACTCGTCTGAGAAGAGCTCCAGGGCTCTGTCCGTCTGCCAGGCCTTGAGTTTTAATCCTGATTGCCATTCAGCCCGCTTCATCCACGCGACGAAGCACTCGAAGGCGAGCGATCTGCAGTCAGTGTTGACAGCCCAGACGTAGCGAGTGGAGGCGTCAATGAAGGTGAGCGTATAATGTTCGCCTTCAAGACCTTCCTGACTGAGAACCATGAAGTCGCTGTAAACTTTGTCCAGTGGCTTATAGCGTTTGTATCCCAGAGGTAAGTTGGGAAACGGCTTGTGGTTGAGCGATGCTGTTGGGCAGATGGTGCAAGGTGGGTCAGCTGAGTCCGCGGTGAAGGAACCGTGTCGGGGTAGAAGTAGTGCGTCGTCGTAAAAAACTCCGGCCTTAAGCGAATTTTTGAGCGTGGCGTGAGAGGGGTGTCCGAGCGTTTGATGCCATGTTCCTGGTTCCGCACGGTAACCGACTGTTTTCTGATCATATTTGTGTCGCGCTGCTTCGTCGTTTGCCTCCCCTTCAGGTCCTGCATCGGCGGCGTCATCGGTGTTGGCGGCGAGCGCGTGAATTGACTTTCGCTCCAGAAGCGCGTGAGGAATGCCGATGATGTCATCGGTATCGCCGGCTTCGGCTCGTTCTCCGGTAACAAGCAGGCACTGGTTGGGCCAGTCGCGAACTGGGAGTCCCTTCATGGGGATTCTGAAGTAACTGTATTCGGCGCCGATGACCTCAATTTCTTGTGGTCCTTGTACTGGCGGCTCCGGCTCCTCGGTAGGTTCAACAATTCCGCTGCTTCTCCAATGAATTCGTAAGTCGCTTCTTCTTCTGATTCCTCTGCTGTTGATTCTGGTGTGTCAGGGGCGTATTGATTCGGAAGAAGACCTCCCCAGCTGGTGCCGCGAGTTGCCCAATATGGGTCGATGGCGGCGACGTCCGCGGGAGGGAGTCCAACTGTTTCATCATGGGTTTGCGGTTCCTGTTCCGCTTCAGTTGAGATTCTCCGTCCTCCGCCAGCGATCCCTGCTGCTTCTGTTGCTCGAGGAGGTGTTCCCCAGTTATTCTGTTGCTCGGGTAAGTTCAACAATTCCGCTGCTTCTCCAATGAATTCGTAAGTCACTTCTTCTTCTGATTCCTCTGCTGTTGATTCTGGTTTGTCAGGGGCGTATTGATTCGGAAGAAGAGGACCTCCCCAGCTAGTGCCGCGAGTTGCCCAATATGGGTCGATGGCGGAGACGTCCGCGGGAGGGATTCCAGCTGTTTCATCATGGGTTTGCGGTTCCCGTTCTGCTTCAGTCGAGATTCTCCGTCCTCCGCCAGCGATCCCTGCTTCTTCTGTTGCTCGGGGAGGTGTTACCCAACCGGTCGCGCCAACTTCCCCTATTGAAGCGGCGCCCCATCCACCTTTGGTTGCTTCTTCTGGAGTTAGAATTTCTCTCCAAGGCCCAAGCGTGGGCTCAGGAGTGCTCCAACCCGTCCAACCTGTTTAGGTTACCTTGTTTCCCTTGGTGGTTTGTGCTGCAGGTTCTGATGCGCCGCTATCTTCTTCCATGGTGGCAGGTCCGGTTTCTGCAGGATTAGAGGTCGAGGCGTTCGGAATGGTGCGCAGGCGCAGGAGGCCGTCAGAGGCGGGCCGCTCGAGGTCCATTTCGTCTGGGTGCGACCACGTTGGCGGTTCCGTGGGAGTTGTCTTCAGCAGGAGCGTGCGGCTGGAGTCGCCGGTGGTGCCTTGAGCCGAAAATTGCAGCACGAAAACTCCATCGTCGTCGATTGCCTTGCTGATGTAAGTCTCGTTGTAGAATAATTTGAATGTTTTATCCTTGCGATTGCTGCGAATTTCGACTCCACACCGCATGAGTGGGGCTGAGGAGAGTAGATTGTATTGCAGTCTGGGGCGACGAGGACGTCTCTGATGTAAATAGTAAACTTCGTGTCATTGGCTTCGAGGTAGATTTCGCCAATATCATATGCTTTCATCTTCCCTTTTGTTGGCAACGGCGATTTCGCAGGGTCGTCGCATGCGCCGTGAGTTACTGTCGGAGATCCCACCATGTGCTGCCCGCAACAACTATCGAGGTACCAGGTGTTGAAGTCCTCGTGGTGTTGGCGTGCGATGTTGGCGATCTTAGGCGTGACGATGCGGTCAAAATCGCCTGTGTACGGTGAGAGAGCGAAGTATCTGTTTGCGGAAATGCTCGGCGGCGATTTCGGAGTTGGCGGGGGGAGCTCGAAGTCTGGTGGAATGTCGGAGGGATGATCGATCCAGGTATGGACTGTGGGGTCGTTGTCTGGAGTTGGTGTGATCGGATTGATGGGGGCGATGCGAGCAAATTCGATGTTGTCGTAGTATCGTATTCCTCTGCGGCGTCGCGCCATGCAGCTGATAATTGTCCCTTTCCCTTTGTCCTTCGCCGTAATGAGTGCAGGAGATTGAGAAGTACTGGCAACGGAGGGAGGCGACACGGTGGAGGTTGCGCCAGTGGATTTTGTTTGTGCCGAGGGTTGCTGATTGGAGGCGTTGCGTCTCTTGTCAGCAGCCTGACGCTTGTAGCACTGGTCGATAGTGTGGCCAGACTTCTTGCAGTATTTGCAGAAAGCTCCTTTCTTTCCGCGCTGCTCCCCTTGTGATGCTCCTGTGTAGAAGACTAACTTCTCCCGTTTGACATTCTTCTCATTGTACAGGTCAATCTCCTTCTGCTCTGAAAGAAGCGTGGCGCACAGAGCCGACTCCGAAATCGTTGCTCGGGCGCGAAGGAGTGACTGACATTGTCGCCAGTCGGGGCCGAGGCCAGTGATGACCATTAAAATGAACATGTCGTCGGGAACGGTCCCATCGCAATTTTTGTCGTGATCGCGCAGATTGCGGCACCGGTTAACATACGGTCCCGCTTTCTCCCCTTGCTTCATTTTAACCGAAGTTAACTGGATGAGCAGGCGACTCATAGTAACTGGATCTGTTGCCATGTATGAGTTGCGCAGATGTTCCCAAGACGCGTGCGCGGGAGCCCACTCCGTCTTGCAAGGGCGGATGCAGAGTTGTTCTTCGGGAGAAAGATTTCGAAGAAGAGCGGTATACGCGAGGAGGGATTCGTGGTAGTATTGATGCTTCTCCTGGATGGTGTCTTTTGAAGGAAAAGGTAAGCTTCCGTCGTAGTATATCCAGGTCGGAGCGATTGTCGCGAAAAGTTCAAATTCGAAGCTCCACGTGTAGAAATCCTTGCCGTCAAAAGGAATTGAGGTCTTCAATTTTGAAGTCAATACATACTTAGTTTTCATAGAAGCGATTGCTTCCGACTGACTGTGCTCGTTGTGGGTTGTCTTGTGCAGGAGCTGACCCTTGACGATTGTCAAAGGTGAAAGATCTCTCGGAGTTGACGCGGCGGTCTTCTCCAGGGAGAGGGAGTCCAGCAACTCCACGTGCATAGCTTGAGCCATCAACGCTCATTGCTTGATGGCTTTCAAGGGCGTTGATGCGGGCGACCAACTGTCAAGATTACGAGACTGGAATGATTGAACTAACAGAGAAATCAGTACAAATAGCAAACCCTAGAATTGTGTACCCCATATAGGCTAACCCACTGTAGCCTAACAAATGCAACATATATAATGTTTGACACACCCCCATAGGCAAAGTGGGGGAGACCTAGGGGTCACAAGACCAGTCAAGGCAGGTTTATAACAGAGCATGAGATACAGTGATCACAACCTAGCAAGAGTAAACATGCAGGTATAGATATATATAGTAATCACAGTACAAGCAAAGTCAAGAGGTAAGCAAGTGAGGTCCAGTAGGCACAAGGCCTAGTAGAGTGCAGAAGCGCTGATGGTCACGAGGCTGAAGCGCCTTGGTGAACACATCAGCAGTGTTGGCCTCAGTGGCCACGTAGCGAATACAAAGCTGACCGCGCTGCTGCAGCTCTCGAGCAAGGAAGTACCGCAGGGCGATGTGCTTCGTTCTGTGCTCCAGTCTGTGCTCCTCACACAAGGCAATGGCAGCCTTGTTGTCGACGTACAGTACTGGAGGAGAACGAGGCGGCTCTCCGAGGTCAGTCAGCAGGTAGGTCAGCCAGCGTAGCTCCTGGGCAGCCATGGCTGTAGCGTAGATCTCAGCCTCGCAACTGGAGCCGAGAACAGAAGAAGAGCGTGTAGAGCGCCAAGAAACTGAGCCAGAGCCAAGGCTGAAGGTGTAACCCTGAGACGACCGCTGAGTGGCCTGGTCGTCCGCCCAAGAAGCGTCTGAGTGCCCTGTGAGCACAACTCGGTCTCGCCCTCCAAGCACAAGCCCCATGCCCGACGTACTGCACAAGTAGCGCAACACCCTCTTAGCGGCATCCATGTGCTCCTTCCTGTGACGGCCAGGAGCGACATAGCGTGCAAGGATGCTAAGAGGGTATGCAAGGTCAGGTCGAGTGCAGGTCATCAGGTACATGAGGCAGCCCACAAGCTCTGGATACGGGCCACTCGGCTCTACGGACTCATCCGAAGGCAGAGCTGAGAGCGAGTGACCGGTAGGCAGAGGAGTGGACTGAGGCGAGGAGTACGTGAAGCCAAAGCGCTGGAGAACCTGCTGCACCATGTGTGACTGAGTCAAGGTGATGGTGCGCCGTGCTCTGTCCCGGGTGATCCGCAAGCCAAGATAGCTTGTCAGCTCACCCAGGTCTGTGCACGTGTGTCTCCTCTGCAGCTCCGACTTCACGTAGGCGAGTCCTGCAGTGTCAGCAGTGGCAAAGACCAAGTCGTCGACGTACACGAGGATGTAGAACGGCGGCAGCGAAGTGTCAGTGCGCAGGAACAGCGACGGGTCAGCTGTAGAAGGCGCGAACCCAAGAGCCGCAAGTGTAGTCCTCAGTGTGTCGTGCCACTCACGCGGAGCCTGGCGGAGACCGTAGACCGGCCGCTGAAGCCTCCACTGGGTACCAGGAGGAAACGACCCAGTGAAGCCAGGTGGGCGGCGCAGCCAGATCTCCTCGTGCAGGCTGCCCTGCAAGAAAGCAGTGCTGAAGTCAAGTGAGTGAAGCTCGTAGTCGCGGTGAGCAGCTATGTGCAGCAGTACCCGAAGAGTAGTCATCTTCGGGGTGGGGGAGAATGTCTGGAAGAAGTCAACTCCCTCTCGCTGACTGAAGCCTCGAGCCACGTAACGGGCCTTGAAGACAGGCGGAGAACCCGGCGGCCGCTTCACCCTGAAAATCCACATGCCACTGACGATGTTCGCCCCAGGAGGGGGAACCTCGTCGACGTAGGTGCGTGTGGACTTCCAGGAAGCCATCTCGGCGTCCATGGCTGTCTGCCACTGAGAGGAGTAGGGACCCGCCATCGCCTCAGCGTAAGTGCGTGGGGTCGGGATGTCTGGTGCATCCGGGTCTCCCTCAGGGGCAACTAGCAAGGACACGAGACGGGGCAAAGCAGCAGCAAGACACTGGAACTCCTCCTGTCTGTCCTCAAGGACGTCCGTGCCAAGAGCACACTCACCCCCGACGGACGGAGGACGGACAGACTCAGACTCAGACTCAGCAACAAGGCTAGTAGCGTAGTCTAGACGACAGGCAGCAGCAAAGTCAACCAACTCAGCGACCAGAGCAGACGCAGTCGAGGACTCAAAGGTAGGGTCAGTGACAACAGTAGCGAGGAGACGCGTGACAGTAGGGTGCTCAGCACGGTACCGGTCAGACTCAGGGTCCGGAACATGAGGCAAAGAAGACGCGGGAGGAGACGGTAGAGGGACACGCTGAGGAGCAGTAGAGGGACGCAAAGTCATGTAGTGAGTGCCTGGGACAGGAGGAGGACGCTCACGACGGACACGACTACCAGTGCGAGCAGGACGGACAGGCGACGCAGGACGAGACTCAGGCTCACGACGCTCTGTAAGACCTCCTGTGGGACCAGTGTAAGGAGAGGGAGCAGGGAGAGGCGAGGTAGGCGGTAACTGTGACTGCGACTGGACAGGCAGAGGACACTCTACGGAGGGAGGAGGACAAGGAGGAGGAGCCTGCCCAAGAACCTGCTGAAGGAGCGGTACGAAGTACGGTCGCGGCCGCGCAGCGTCTCCAGAAGCAGAGGAGACTCCAGCGGCCGGGTCAACAGCACCAGCAGCAGCTCCACCAGTCGGGTCCTCAGCACCAGTAGTAGCTCCAACGCCCGGGTCCTCAGCAGCAGCAGCAGCGCCACCGCTCGGGTCCTCAGGTCCAGCAGCAGCTCCACCGTCCGAGTCCTCAGTACCAGCAGCAGCGCCACCGCCCGGGTCCTCAGCTCCAGCAGCAGCTCCAACGTCCGAGTCCTCAGCACCAGCAGCAGCTCCACCAGGCGGGTCCGCAGCACCAGCAGCAGCTCCAACGTCCGGGTCCTCAGCACCAGCTGCAGCTCCACCCCCAGGGTCCGCAGCACCAGGAGCACCACTCCGAAGACTGCAGCGCCGTGTGTACCACTCGCGGATCTGCTGAATGGGGGGGAGCTCCTGGGTAGGAGGGGAAGTACCGGGACGAGCTCCAGCAGCACCTCTCCGAAGGCGGCAGTACTCGAGGTACCTCTCCTGCAGCTGCTGGGAGGAGAGGGCTCCTCTAGGTGTAGCACGCTCAGGCTCAGCACCCCCAGACGCAGCACCCCCAGGCTCAGTACCTCCAGGCTCCGCACCTCCAGGCTCCGCACCTCCTGGCTCAGCACCCCCAGGCTCCGCACCCCCAGACTCAGCACTCCCAGGCTCAGCACCCCCAGACGCAGCACCCCCAGGCTCAGCACCCCCAGACGCAGCACCCCCAGGCTCAGCACCCCGAGCAGGACGAGAGTCAACAGCTACCTCGACAGGCTCACCCGGGTCTACCTGGGACACACCTGAGGGAGCGGCACCCTGAGGGGGGAGGGGGTCTGGTACCTCAGCACCTGGAGCGAGGAAGAGAGGCGGGGGGGGGAGCGGGGCAGTGCGGTAGGGGAAGAGGCGGTAGTAGGGGACGGACTCGTCAAAAGTGACGTCCTGAGAGGCCAGGACACGACGCGAGGTGGGGTGGTAGAACTGCCAACCAGGGGCGTCCGGGACAAAGCCAAGGAAGACGCAGGGGACAGCGCGACGGGAGAGCTTGTCCGCGGACGTGTCGCGGACAAAAGCTCGGGATCCCCAGACCCGAAAAAAGCGACGCATCGCCAGCCTCTCCCGTCCAACGCAGTGTCGGAGAAGTCTCGGGCAAGGAGACACGGGGCCAGAGGTTGAGCTGATGCGCAGCGTATCGGACTGCAAACGGCCACAGAAAATGGGGGGCAGCCGCATGGCTCAAGGAGGTACGGGCGACCTCCATGACCAGACCAATGCGGCGCTCAGCAACCCCATTCTGCTGTGGAGAGTCCGGAAGCGTGTACGACTGCTCAATGCCCTCCTGCTGACAGAAGGCCTCCAGTAGGCCAGAGGAGAACTCCCCACCTCTGTCAGAGTGCAGACGCAGGACAGGGAAGTCGGAGCGGAAACGCTCACGGAGCTGGCGACGAGATCTGCGGATCCAAGGGATCAAGACATCAGGGACGTCACCCTTGGCGCGCAAGGGGAAGACCGTGGTGTAGCGCGAGAAGTCGTCAACAACAATCAGGAAGTACCTCTCCTGGCCCTGACCACGGACGCGGGCTGGGCCCCACACGTCCATGTGGAGCGTCTGCAAGGGAGCAGTCGTCGGGGGAAAGGAGGAGGAGTGAGGAGCGGCGCGCTGCCGTCCCTCGACACAGGGAATACAGGGAGGAGCAGGCGAGTCGGGAAGGGGAGGAAGCACCCTGGGAAGACCAGCAACAAGGTCCCGTTTGTGCATAGCCCGAAGGCGCTGCACAGACGGGTGACCAAGGCGGTGGTGCCAAAGGACAGTCTCATGCGCCAGAGAGCGACACGAGCAGGGGGCGGACAGCTGACCTGACGCAGACGCAGACGCGGACGCAGCTACCTGAGGGGACTCAGTGGTCAGTGTGTACAGGTCCGACCCCGGCTCTCGAGTGAAGGTAGCCAGGTGGCGACCCATCCGAGCACACGTGCAGTGTGTCACGCGCTCGTAGGCAGGGGTGAACTGGTGAACACCCCCATCCTGGAGCGCACTACCTGCCACCAAGTTCGTAGAGAACGAGGGGAGGTAGAGACCTGACAGCGTGCCGGACGGGACCGCCGGACAAGGAAGGACAGTGGAGGAGGTCGCAATGACCGGACCCCCAGAGGGGTCAGCAAGGGAGACAGCAACTGGCCGAGCGAGTGGCTCAAGGACAGTGCGATCACGAAAGAAGGAGCGAGAAGCACCTGAGTCCAGTGTGAAGGTGTGCAGTGCTGCAGTTGACTCAGTACCAGGGGGCACGGACGCACGAGCACCTAGGGCAGCGGCCTCACCAGGACCTGTGGGAGCAGACGCACTAGCACCTAGAGCGGCAGCCGGACTGGCCTGAATGCCCGGGTCGGGCAGAACACGCAAGTACTGAGCACCCTCTCCACTAATAGACATGGCATACATGGCAGTGAGAATAGCATCAAAGTCTAAAGCCCAAATATCAACACCCCTCTTTTCCAGATCAGCCCAGCGCGGCAGCTCAGTGGCAGTAGGAAACTGAGTGCGCCATGCGTCGTTAAGGCGCGCGAAGCAGCGCTGCGTGGGGTGCGGCCTCCCACACTGCTGGCCGCTGCGGTCACCTGTGCGAATGACGTACGTGCAGGTAACGCTACGCTGCGCATACCACTCACGGGCGGCCTGAAGCGTCGGGGCGGGCTGCTGACTCGGGCCTCCGCCAGTGCCTCCACGACCACCACCCCCACCGCCGCCGCCCCGGCCACCTCCACCCCTGCCGCCGCCACGACCACCTCCGCCTCCGCTGCTGCCTCCACCACCACTCCCACCGCTGCTGTCTCCTCCCCCACTGCCGCCACTAGTCTCCCCAGCCGCGCCTCCACTCCCACCGCCTCCACCCCCACCTCCTCCGCCGCCACCCCCACCCCTGCCCCCCTTGTTCCTGCGGCGCCCGCTCGAAGCAGACGCGGTCCCGACCTTCTCAGCACCAAGAAGGTCGACAGCAGCAGCAGAGGCGACAGAGGGGAGGAGGGGGGAAGGGGAACACCCCTCAAAGAACGGGGTGCGGGGGTCGCCACGAGAGGTGCCTACAGCGACGATACTGGCCTCAGCTGCAAGCAGTTCCTTCTCGAGGAGGGCTACGGTGAGCTCGGTGGGGGAGCGAGAGAGGAAGTGGTCCCTGACTGCGCGCAGAGAGTCAGGGAGGCGAGTGACGATGTGGTAGAGAGTGATCCAGAGCGGGGGGGGGTTGCTAGCGAGGAACTCGTCAGGCATGGCAGCGCGAAAGCGGGCCTCACTAGTCTTAAGGTGGGTGATGAGGTCTGCGACTGTGTGAAAGGAGGCCAGGTCGGGGAACAGGTAGGGGAGAGTGAGGCGGCCTAGCGTGGCAGAAGCGGGTGAGGAGTAGCGGGCAACGACAGCGGTGTACAGTTCCTTAGCAGTCTTGCACTGGCCGAAGTGCTCGCGCTCATCTAGCGGCAGGGAGTTGCGTATGGCGAAGCGAGCGTGCGCGTCACGTGTCTGCCACTGTGAGCGCTCAGTGGGGGGAGCAGTAGTAAGAGGGGCAGTAGCGTGGCCGAGAGCATGGTCGTACAGAGAAATATCCTCCTTGGCCGTGAGCTGTAGGAACAGGTGCAGGTCATCGAGCCAGGTTTCGAACTTCACTGGACGGCCCTCGGCGTCGAAAGCTAGAACGGGAGGGCTAGCCATAGCGATAGTAGCAGTAGCAGACAGAGTAGAGCCACTGTAGCTGTAAAGACGCACTAGCAGGAGTCGCAGGGGCGCACGGGCTGCGGTGGTAGGCCGGCAGTAGCGGTGTGCGGTGGCGACTGCAGGTGCGGCCAGTCAGTAGTGGCGGGCCGGCAGCGAGGGCGTGCGGCGGCGGCTGCGGGTGCGCACGGGCGGCAGTGGCAGGCCTGCAGGCGAGGGCGTGCGGCGGCAGCTGCGGGTGCGCACGGGCGGCAGCGGCGGGCCGGTAGCGGGTGCGTGCGGCGGCGGCTGCGGGTGCGCACGGGCGGCAGCGGCGGGCCGGCAGCGGGTGCGTGCGGCGGCGGCTGCGGGTGCGCACGAGCGGCAGCGGCGGGCCGGCAGCAGGCTGCGAGCGGGCCGCGCAAGCAGGTAGCGGGCGGTTCGCGGGCGGCGTGCAGGCCGCGCGGGCGGTTCGCGGGCAGTTCGCGGGCGGTTCGCAGGCCGCGCGGGCGGTTCGCGGGCGGTTCGCGGGCGGCGCGCAGGCCGCGCGGGCGGTTCGCGGGCGGTTCGCGGGCGGCGCGCAGGCCGCGCGGGCGGTTCGCGGGCGGTTCGCGGGCGGTTCGCTAGAGGGCCAACGGGGCCGGTAGGTGCGATCGCAATCGACGGGGCCAGCGGGGCCGGGAAAAAAAAAGGTAACGCTCGCGAGGGCGCTACGGGGGAGACGCTAAGAACGCGCTCCGGTAGGTAGGTAGGTAGGTAGGTAGGTAGGTATCGTACGGTGGGCCCTTAAGAACGGTCCTAGGGAAGGACCTGCTCTGAAACCATGTCAAGATTACGAGACTGGAATGATTGAACTAACAGAGAAATCAGTACAAATAGCAAACCCTAGAATTGTGTACCCCATATAGGCTAACCCACTGTAGCCTAACAAATGCAACATATATAATGTTTGACACCAACTGCTCGACGACAGCGGCGCTGACGGAGGTCACCGCTGATGGTGCAGTGGGTATTCGTTGCTGGTGGTGGGCCCGGAGAGTCTGCAATGGCTTTTCCTTCTGGAGCCATGGTGATGCAGAGTCCTTAATGGCGTAATGATTAATTTATAGAGAGTTTTTTCTAGCAAGAACAAGAACTTGGCACTCTGAGGGGTACATTCCCTTATTAACTGTATTACATAGCTACAGTAGCCACGGCTATTGCTATTCTCGACAGTTACCATGTTGCAGCGAACAACTGTCGCGCGGTTACTGGGTGGTCAAGGGTCACGACCGTTGACTACCCTCGACGGTTGACCTTCGGGTGACCCTCGACCTTCCGCATGCTCTATATGAGCTATTGCGGTACTAGTACATTGGGATACCTTCGAGAATGCTTATATAACCTTTTGGTTATTCCAACAATATATTATGCTTCGCCAATACAATGTCAGAAAGAAGAGCAAGTTAGTGGTGACAGTTTTGGCTTGCTCTCTATCTTATGTCTCCTAGAAGGTGTACCTGTGTATGGTTTGCTTACTCTTCTTTCTTATTATATTTTTCAATGCCATATACACTATGAAGAGCGCATACAAGCATTGAGAGACGTAACTGTACGGTTTGCTTACTGATGGACACGGCACAATGTACCCCATATTGGAAATGGCACTGACGCATAGTCGCTTGTACTGGATGAGACTTTAGCGAGCGTATTGAGAGTCGGGATTATTCCCATTTCTATTCCGCTCCTCACGGCATCCCACAGGAACTCAACGAGTCGGGGAACTTCCGGCTTAGCGCCGCCTGCTAGTTTGCGCCGCGGGTTCGTCGCGCAGCCCCACAATGAGCGCGCGTCGCGCGTTGTCGCGCTCGCTCCATCAGCTGGTGCGACGCCCGACTTCTCTGCCACGTGCCCTCCCGGGGTTCGCTGCCCTCCCCACCCTAACACCGCTGCGCTTCTCCTTCTTTTCTCTCCGCTCCTCGCCGTTATTTCCTTTCTCCGGCTCGTCTCTCCTCTCCCTCGTTTCTTCGTCTTCTCTCCCACTCGTCCCCGCCCTGCGTTTCCGTACATCATTCGGGAGGGTCACGTGTCTTGCCCCTTGCCCCACAGCCAAGGGTTCGGAGTCCCTACTTCATGCCATGCTACCCCAACCCCCTCGAAAACAATTTCGGGATGCATGTATGCATGAATGCAAGCCGCGCTCGCCCCTGCTGTGTGTGTCGCGCTCACCCCCTGCCGTGTGTGCCGCGCTCACCCCATGCCATGTGTGCCGTGCTACCATGCAGGTGGGCTCTCTGTCGTCGACCATCCGCGCTGCCCCGCTGCGACCCTCTCCATCGACGCCGCCGCTGCCGCTGTCACGCTTGCTACCACGCCAGCCACCACCATCACAGCTGCAATCCCCCCACTCGCTCTTCGCTCCCCCGCACCACCTCACTCGCATTCCCAAGGGTTGCAACCTCGCTGCTCCCAACATTGCCACGTGGCAAGCGGCGCCCGGCGGTTTGGCAGCAGGCATAAGGCAGCACGTTCGAACGCTCACCCTCACATGCCTTCGCGGCCGTGCCGTGCCGAATCCCAGACTGCCTTTGGGTCCACTTCTGCCACGTGGCAGCGGCTCATTGGCTGCCCCTGCCCTGTGGAAGGGGCTTTCTCTTGGCGGTACGTACCCCACCAATCACAGCCTGCGTGCAAACGACGGGATGCTGGCATGCCTTCCCCACCGCTCGTGCTTTCACTTGGGGAAGCGCATCTCTCATATCTCCAGCATTTTCCTCGTGTCTTCCCACCTCCCTGTCCTCGCCAATTCCACCCGTCGTTTGCTTGACTCACCACATCGCTCTATTCCGTGCAGCATGACGTGGCACCATATTGTTACATCACTGCTGATTCTGTCACATATGCAATTACAGTTTCTTGCACTGCACCCACTGCCCACTCCCCTGTCGCCTGCAGTGCAGTGCGCAGCAGCGGCCTCTGCTGCCCTGCTGCCCTCCAAGGCCGCTGCTTGCACTGACGGTAAGAGGACAGGGGGGAGGTTAGTGGTGAGAGGAGGGGGAAATGGCGGTGAGAGGAGGGAGAAATGGTGGTGAGAGGAGAGGGGGATTTTGGTGAGAGGGAGCGAGGATGGTGGTGCGATGAGGGGGGGTTGGTGGTGAGAGGAGGGGGGGATTGATGAGAGGGGAGGAGGATGGTTGAGAGAGGACGGGAGGATGGTGGTGAGAGGAGGGGAACGACAATGTTAGGAGGTGTCCGTTGTTGGTGCTGGCTGTGATAAAAGCAAGGAAGTGGCAAGGGAAGGGGCTGAAAGAGGTGGTGGTGTTCATGCCATGCCAGCATCAGTCATTGCCAGACAATGATGTTCCTTTGTCCCTTGCCCTCCATCCCTCTCAGCATTCTGAAGCAGGCCCTCATACGCCCCACCCTCATCCTTCCCACCCTCATCCTTCCCACCCTCATCCTTCCCACCCTCATCCTTCCCACCCTCATCCTTCCCACCCTCATCCTTCCCACCCTCATCCCACCCACCCTCATCCCTCCCACCCTCATCCCTCCCACCCTCATCCCTCCCACCCTCATCCCTCCCACCCTCATTCCCGTCCCACGGCAATTTATGGCATCGCTGCGCCCCTCACTTCCCGGCCCTCAATTTCTAGCTGTTCGTTCCCCCTCTCTCCTCTCCCTCCAACCACCCTCTTCTCTCCTCCGCCCCATTCTCTTCTCCTGAACACCACCTGGAACATCCCGCCTCACAATGGCAGAAACAGCAGCGGCCGTGCGGGCATCACTGTGCTCGTCTTGCTCCTTGCTCACCTCTCACTTTTCCCGCTGCTTTTGACTTCTCTCTCCGCGCCTCCCACCTCCCTCCTCGTATCCCCCCATCCTCCCCTCCTTTCTCTCCCCCTTCCAGTTCCCCAGTCTCCACCCCCTCTCAGCAGCAGCAGCAGCAACGACGACGACGATGACGTCTCGCTGCTGGCCGTGCTGCGGGTGCTGGTGGCGCAGGTGTGGCCGCTGCTGGTGCTGCTGGCGTCCCTCTTCGCGCTGCACGACGAGCCCTCCATGGCGGCCGCCAACCTCGCTCTGCTCTGCTGGGGGCTGCGGCCTGATGAGCCCAGCCTGCACGCCTGGCTGGAGCAGGTGGGGTGTGGAGCAGGTGCGGTGTGGGGCAGGTGCGGTGTGGGGCAGGTGCAGTGTGGGGCAGGTGTGGTGTGGGGCAGGTGAGGTGTGGGGCAGGTGCGGTGTGGGGCAGGTGCGGTGTGGGGCAGGTGCGGTGTGGGGCAGGTGCGGTGTGGGGCAGGTGCGGTGTGGGGCAGGTGTGGTGTGGGGCAGGTGAGGTGTGGGGCAGGTGCGGTGTGGGGCAGGTGCGGTGTGGGGTAGGTGCGGTGTGGGGCAGGTGCGGTGTGGGGCAGGTGCGGTGTGGGGCAGGTGAGGTGTGGGGCAGGTGCGGTGTGGGGCAGGTGCGGTGTGGGGCAGGTGCGGTATGGGGCAGGTGAGGTGTGGGGCAGGTGCGGTGTGGGGCAGGTGCAGTGTGGGGCAGGTGAGGTGTGGGGCAGGTGGGGTGTGGGGCAGGTGCGGTGTGGGGCAGGTGGGGTGTGGGGAAGGTGGGGTGTGGGGCAGGTGAGGTGTGGGGCAGGTGCGGTGTGGGGCAGGTGGGGTGTGGGGTAGGTGGGGTGTGGGGCAGGTGGGATGAGGGGCAGGTGGGATGAGGGGCAGTTGGGATGAGGGGAAGGTGGGATGAGGGGCAGGTGATGTAGGGTGCACTGGCGAGTGCAGCGGCGAAAGCAATGATGTTTCAATTGTGCGGGACAGCGAGGTAAAGAGCGCTGTGCTTCCATTGTCTCGCATCCACTGTGCTCTATTCTTCATGTGCTTGCCTTTCCGCTGCTGCTTGTTTGCATGCTGCATGCTGCCGTCTGGATGAACGCTGTGCTATGGCTGTGTGCATGGCTGTGTGCATGGGTCCAGACATGCGTGCACAGTGTATTTGCCATCATACCGCACACTTAATGTGGAAAATTACGTGCATGGTTGCATGAGCACATGAATGGATGCACGCATGAATGGATGCACGCATGAATGGATGCACGCATGAATGGATGCACGCATGAATGGATGCACGCATGAATGGATGCACGCATGAGTGGATGCACGCATGAATGGATGCATGCATGAATGGATGCACGCATGAATGGATGCACGCATGAGTGGATGCATGCATGAGTGGATGCACGCATGAATGGATGCACTCACGAATCGATGCACGCATGAGAGGATGCACGCATGTTACACAGAAGCGAAGCGAGGAGCTCAAGGATAAGAACGGCCTCGACTGGGCCACATCGCATGTAAGTTATGATCGTTGCTTTCAAGTCATGTCTACAGAATTGAACTTTTTTTTTCCAGCCCATTTCATTTCGATTTATAACCTAGCATGCCACAACTCCCTGTTATGTTCACAAATCTTGTGTGAAGTGCGAATTGGTTTTCGTCGTACATCGTGCCACGTGGTGTTTCTGGAATGACCATTCACATGCTAAAGTCCAAGATCTTGGCGGTGTAGGGCAGTTATCACCCCGTAGTTCCACCGAGACACATCCATGCTGCATGTTTGATAGTGCTCACTGATGCTCCATACTTCATCATACGTTTTCATCATATGTATCCATATTACATATCCAAATACATTCTACCTGTAGGAGAGTCCCTTGAGGTTGTACTTAGAGCAGGTGACCAAAACTGTTCATCGCACATGGGCTGTGGTGGCAGGTGATGGGAGCTGTGGTGAAGGTGGAGTATACCGACTGCTGGTTCTTCTCCCTTGCTAAAGTGTCATCCATTACAAGCAGCTACACTGTACTCGGCATCCTCAACAATTGGTTCACTCTTTCCACCACCAAGCAATCTTTGCAATTCCCAAGCCTTAGAGACCGAGACTCTGAGCTGTGAAGTGCTCAAGTGCTCTTGTTTTTTTGGGACTATCTGTATGTAAACGGGTTTGTATTGGTTCAGCACATCACCGTTGTCATTCTGATAAGAAGCTTGATATGGTATTTTTACAGAATCGAAGGGTGTTTTGACTGTATCCATCCTATTATGAAGAAGACTTGGGTGCACTCATGGTGGCTGCAATATTGAGCTGGTGGGACATTCTTCTGACCAATGGTGCGCTGGCAGGGCAGCTCCTATGAGTCCAACCGACTGCAACAAGGGTTAGCATCATGTTCATAAGGTTTGTGTCAACATTTGGGATACCGGTACCCGTCGCCCAGGTATAAGAATGGTGTCGAATTGAAGGCAATGGTGTCTTTAATTAGGGTAGATTCTTGGGTGTTCTTGTTATAAGGGAAGAAACCTATGGTTTTGTACAGATTACTGTAAGAAATATATGCCTTATAAATGGTCAATGGGTTTACGGGATACAATGTCATACAATTATACCCGTCAGCCCCCGGATAAGCCCGCCCCTGGGGGAATAATAAAACATTTTTTTTAGGGGGTGCGCTTATAATTGAGGAAATTTATAAGCGACGGCTTTAATATTACCGGTATGTCAATGATGAAATACATGTTAAAATATATGAAAACAAAGCATTTTCAAAGGCAGATTCACCTAACTCGAGAACGTTCGAAACTGTGCATGTTTTCCGCATGAAAGGCCAACAAGGCGTGGCTTCACGCCTTCCACGCCTTGTTGGCCAGGCCAGGTTTATCGAACGTGAACCTGGCCCATGCCAGCGCACACGTACTTCGCATCACAACTACCCAATCAGGGTTGCACGCGGTCCAGGACACGTCATGGTACAGCCACGACATGCCCATCCAGAGCAAGATTCCCCGCCACCGAGGCAACGAGTTGACCAGCTCAGCTTTTCTGCGGGGAATCTTGAATGTGGCCACCCCTTCCCGACAGAGGAGGCCGGGCCGCGAAAATGGAGGGGTCTCGGGCGAGGGTTTCATACGGCCCTCATTCTCAACTTTCTCCTCACTTTTGTTCTTTCGTTTGGCCTGCCGTGGCCATGGCGGGCCTTCCAGGAACGCATTTTCTGTTCCGCCGCCAACCTGCTGCTAGAGATAATAGAGACACCTGTGACTACTCGCAATGGCAGAGGCGCCCTACGCCCGTCCCTCTAACACACCCAGTCGTGCCTCCCGTCTCTCCCACTCCTCCAACGCCTCCTAACCCTCCCACTCCACAGGCGCCTCGGGCTCCTTCTGCTCCTCCATCCCCTCCTGAGCCACCTGTCTTCGGTGTTCCACGTTTGGGGGTTCTGCAGCTTCTCCTCCCTCCTGGCTACTCGGCCTCCGACGCTCACCTGTCCGAGCCCGACCGCAGCGGCACCAAAGCATCTTCCTCCGCACCCTCGCACGCTGGGGAACCCTGGCTGTTCACCTATTGGATGAATCCGCGACTGGTGCCGAAGACGATGTGGAGTTTTGTTCGAGCACCTGCCTATTCCCACCTTTCCCCCTCCTAATAAAAAACGGTCCCACCCTTCCCGTGAGAATCACAATGCCCGTCCTCCCTCCCCCAAGCACAAGCCGACAACTCACAAGTGCGGGTCGTATACCTCCCAGGAGAAGCTGCAGTGGAGTCTGAAGCTTGAATCCGGGGAGATGAGTATGCAGCGGATGTCTCACGAATCCGGCATCTCCCGAAGGTCACTCGCAGAGTGGAAGACCCGGAATTCTGAGCTGGAGGCACGCGTGCGGCTTGCAAGCGCCTTCATGGCCGCGGAAGGGGCTCGTGGTACCGCGACATGGAAGCAGAAATCTACAGGACGTTTCTTGCCCACCCTAAAAAGTGTCTTGCCGTTTTGGTCGTACGCCAGCAAAAGTGGTCACACGAGGCGATGAAAGAACTGCATCCAGAGGTCAACTGGGCTGTCTCTCAATGGTGGTCTGAGCGCTTTCGCCGCCGCTAGAACCTGACAAATCGAGCGAAGACCAGGGTCGGTTAGATGCTTGCGGCCAGTGAGTTGTTTTTAGAACTGTCGTTTACGGTTTTGTTGCATGTGGTGGTTGTGTGTTCCGTCAAACGTTGTTCTTCTGTCACGTCACTTATCTTGTGTTTGTTTTTCCTCTCTACTCCCATCCGTACTCCCAGACTACGAGGGTGATATCACGAACTTCTGGAAGTTTTGTGCGACACACCCGCCGTGGATCATTAACTGTGGATCATTAACAGTGGATCGACCCGCAGTGGATCATTAACGCGGACCAGACGCTGCTCTGGCTCAAGATGCCTGCCGAACGCACCGTCGAGGAGGTGGGATTGCGCTTTGTGCCCATCCGCAGCGGCGGCTATCAGAAGGAGCGAGTGGTTGTGATGCTCGCCTGCACTGCCAGCGGTGAGAAGCTGAAGCCGTGGGTCTTCTTCAAAAGGAAGACCGTCGGCAAAGGGAATTTCTCGTCAGGTAAGCTTCATCACCTGTCTTAATAACGTCTGAATGTTTATGTTTTCTGTTTTAATATCAATAAATGTGTGTATGCTGATGTTGTCGTGTCCGCGCATCCCAACAGTTGGATGGATGCGGAGGGTGTCATCGCGTGGCTCGACGGGACGGTCAAGCCGTATGTCAATCCGAAGTTCAATGTCTACTCCCACAAAGCGATGCTCGTCCTCGACTCGTACCGCGGGCACCTGACTGCGGAGGTGAAGCAGAAGTTCGGCGAGTTGAACATTGTCCCTGCCATCATCCCAGCTGGCTACACCTCAGAGATTCAACCCCTCGATGTCACGGTGTGGTTAGAGAGCGAGGGGGTCGAAACCTCGACGATAAAAGGTGAGACAGGCCGCCCATGTGATTGTTTGTTTAGAGTTTTTTTTTTTTTTTCCTAACTCTTCTGACTATGGATTCTTGTATTTTTCGTGGTACGAAGCCACCACCCGAGCTGACGCTCAAGTGGATCTGCTTGCCTTGGAAGGCCGTGTCCAAGGACCTAGTTTAACGGGCCTTTCTCACATGAGGCATCAGCAACGCCCTGGATGGGTCCCAGGACAAGCTCTGCCTGCAACACAGATGAGACAAGATTGAGGGCAAAGTCGAGATGGATGAAGAGATTGCAGCAGATGGGTTCTGCTGCAACAATGTAAAAGAGCCTCAGTCTGACTCTGAGGCCGACCCAGACGACCCCACAGCAGCTGATGACTAGAGTAGATATAGGAGATCTATGGTAGTATGTTCTTGCAAGTAACCGTAGTTAGTATATGAAATTGTTTTAGTGAACTAATTTGTTTGTAGGTAGATTAAAACCTTGCGAAATTATTTAAATCAATAAATATAGGGTGGCTCTTAATATGTAGGCTACGAGTATGCAGTTATAATCCGTAAGGCCAGAAGTATGCGCTTATAATCGAGGACCGGATATAAGCGCTATATGTTCTTTATAAGTGCCGGGCGCTTATTCGAGGCCTGCGCTTATATCCAGGGGCTGACGTTAAATGCCAATTCTACCCAGTATCCCTCAGTTCCCTCGTCTTCTGCCTACGCTCCCAGTCTGGGTCGTTCCATGCGTGCTTGGCAGTCCTTGACGGATCCACCAAGTGTTCTGCGTCGGCTGTAGGTGGGACATGACCAAGTGGTTCCCGGTCCCATTGACATGGCTTCGGATACACTTAGTATTGAATGCCTTGACAATGACTTCGCGTGGGACTTGCTTGTTTCCATGCCTCCGCAATCTATTTCAACACCACGTGATGCGAAGGCTTCTTCAAGTTCTCTGCTGGAGGATGGGCAGACTCAATCAACTCACTTCTTGGTGTCTTCAAGTTGATGCCATGCAGCATAAACCACCTGCAGTAGCGGACGTGCACCGCTGCTTTGAAGCAACGGTTGATCGATTCCTTTATGGGTTGAATCTGGCTGGTGCAGCCAACGGGGATGACAGAAGAGGTTATGCAGTGCGTCCGATACAGTTGAAGCATCCCTTGAGTGATATGCACGCGGTACACATCCAGCACCATCGAACGACATGCTGACTGCCCTTTTTTAGGGTTGAGGTAGGGCAGCACCTCCTTGGCCAGCCATGTTTTCATTGCTGTTTCATCCATCCACCCCTTCTTCTGGGCTTGGACCACGACACCTGCAGTTTCAGGTAAAGGAACAATAATGAGCACAATGAGTGAATCAAGGCAAGCATAAAAGTTGACTTACCTTCAGAAATGTCTCGCTTCAAAGATTTATTATTATTATTATTATTATTATTATTCAACCACACCCGAAGGCGCAACTTCTCTTTGGAAGGTGTGCATGCAAGCAAGACAATGAGCCTATGCTACTCGTAGCCAGCTAAGCGGATAAGGGCAGACTGAGCGCGTCTGTGATCTATGGTCCTCTCCGCATGCATCTCCATGGACAGCGGAGCTTGATCCTTATTGATGATACATGAGAAGTCGATGTTGTGGCATGCTCGGCTCATGCAAAAGAATTTTGCATGCCTTCACAGTCGTGAGCACACTCAACCAAGTGGACAATCAAGGGAAGAAATACAGAAAGAGAAACGCAGGGGGGTGTAAACAAAGATTGTAAGAACCAGAGAGGGAAATACAGGAGCAAGGATATTTATGAGAATTTGGTAAGAACGAGCACAACGGGCTAGGCAACAGGCAACAAAAGCTGTCAGAAATTTACCCTCTGACAACTTCTAATCAACCTTCGTATTCACTTCATTACCAGGTTCCATCGATCGCAAAATCCCTTGTCAAAATAGCTATAGAATGTGTGCATCAGGACAAAGAAATATGTCGAGAGAAGTTAAGTACCCCCTCACATGCAACTCACTACAGGCTAAAATAAAATATATGATATAATTTGACATATCCCCATAGCCTAAGTAAGATGCATCAACACGATCAAGAGAAGCAAGTGGTCACAATATCAGTCACGAGAACAAACACGGTAAGCTCGGGGTGGATCACGAAGTCACCACATAGTCTGAGCACAAGC